ATGTTGCTATACATGTTGTGAAAGCGTTATGTATCAGTCAATTCCAGCGGTGCCCACTGCCCACCCCCACCTCCCCGGGGAATTAGCAATTTCTGGAAAGAAAATGGCTATGTCCCCACCACCAGGCAATAATATTGACTGTTTAGTGCATGTTGATTTGCACGTTATAATTCTATGCATATGAACAATATAAATGCAAAGTACAAAAAAGAAGTTCTACAACAAGGATAAAAATGCTTTTAGGCCACATAAAAAAAAATAGTTGGTTAGCGTCCTTAGCTTTTGCCAAAAAGTGAGCGGGCGGGCGCTTTTTTTTTAATTTTTACTAGTTTTTAACGCCTTGGTTTTACTCACTGTTAGGTCCGAAACTGGATTTTCTTGCGCAGTACAGATATTTTTTTATATATTTCAAAATATGATTCATACCGTCATTTTCGCACGCAATTTCGCAAATTATTAACACAATTGACTACAGTCAACAGAAATACTACATACATTAGAGCCCGTTGATCAATAAAAGCTGTTTTTTTTAAAATAAAAAATAAAAAAAAATCCTGAGCGGGGCCTTTTTTGTGGGCGGGCGGGGACGCTAACCAACTATTTTTTTTTATGTGGCCTTATATTAATGCAACGCTGTATAAATTCTCAACCCTAACGAACAGCGCATCTAGCTATAGACCTATGATAATATTAATGTCAACCTTTGAAAATATTTTGATTTTCACTGACCGATAACTTTGATCCTAGTTTAAACTTTCTAAATATTTATAAGCGTTATAAATTGAATTATTTGGTCTACATAGGCAGTTGCGATATTGAAAAATATCGATATATCGATATCTAAAAAAATTTCGATAATATCTACTATATCGACTATATCGAATTATGCAAATGAGAAAACATAATTTAGTCAACTTGCATGTATACACATCACAAACAGTTAAAAAGAAGTGCATGAAACCAGTCATGGTACATCTCAAAGATTTATTTAAAACGGTTTATCCGTCATCTCCAACTCAGCTTTTAATTTCAATTGCCCACGCACTTGTAATATAAATTCGCAATTGCCGCCATACACACATTGTCTAAACTTCACCGATGAAAACAATAATTGTCGAATAATCGCAGATTAAGTTGTTTAGTTACAACTTTCGATAAATATCAATATTTTTGAAATATCGATATTTATCGAAAATATAGATATATCGCAACAGCCTAACTGTACCGGTATGAGATTTTTTTGATTTTTTGATGTTTTTTGAGATTTTTTAGGATTTGTGGGGACTTTTAAGAAGTTTTGTGGAATTTTATGAATTTTTATATGGATATGGATTTTTTAAGGAATTTTGAGGGATTCATTAGGGATTTTCGGAGATTTTTGAGGGATTTTTTCAAGGTCTAAGAGATTTTTTGGAGTCAGTGATACTCCCCTTGGTATTGTTGGCCCACAGAGTTGGGATATTAGGTGGGGTAAAAACAGCCATATGAACATAGGAATGATTCATTCCACTCATAGATGGATTTTCATATTTATTACTGGGGTGGTGCCAGAAATTTTAGGGGGGGGTGAGCCGTAAGCAGGTGACTGAAGCAACACAAAGTGTCACCAAACCCCAGTAAGGTCTATATTCTAGGGGTGGAGCACTAGAGCTGCGAGGGGGAGTCTAGAGAGCAGAAAACAAAGTATCCCAGGAAAAATTTGGGGAAAAAATCATGATTTCTAGCTTCGAAAAAACTTTTTTGAAGTTGTCGATTTGTTACATCAATGGATTTGGCATGTCCGATTGTCTGTTGAGACTTGAGAGAGTTAAAGATAAATGAACCTGTAAAAGTGTAAACCCAATAGGCCAATACACAATATGCTTTTACTTTTATAAAGTCATTGACATTGTGTTGTTTGAATCAGAGTACAATTTATGATGCAACTCCGATGTAAATAATATTTGGGGCGTGAAGATTAAATCTAGGCATGTCTATTTCCTAAAACAATTAAAAACTAAAAATAGTGTTTGTAAAAATTCCAAACGTTCCTTGCGTACAAGCTATTCACATGACAAGGCACTGCAAACTCAATTCAGGGAAGATAAAAGAGAACAAAACTTTACAATTGCTCCAATAAACCAGTGAATGCAAGCGAGGAGCGATTAGTTTCAGAGTGTTGCACTGTCTTTTTCTGTTCGAGTGTACTCCTATGTTTATTTTGTATCATCAACACTCTGCACGTTGGAGTGGACTAATTATTTATTTATTATGCCGAATATTGGGGGGGGAGTTGAAAATTTTTTTTGGAGGGGTGGACATTTTGTTTGGGGGGGTTATAGCTAATATTGGGGGGTAGCACCCCCCAGAAAATCTGTCTATGATTCCACTTAGTTGAGCTTCCTGGCAAAGTCTGGATTCATTATCAGGGCCGTTGCGAAGAGGCTTAAGCAAGGGGGGGTGTGATATTGTATTTGCCGACCAAAGTTAAAATTTTGCTGGGGTTAACAGCCCCCTAGCAATGGCCCTGCTCATATATGAACAGGCCCAAGGGGAGCCTGCTTGAACTAGGTGCAACTAACTTGATGTCATATTGATGCCATTTTATAGTTTAAAACTTTAGACTTAACTCTTAATTAAATTGTTAATTACACATTTTACTGGTGAGGGTTAGGGAAGGGTTATACAAAAATAACTAATAGTCACTACAGTACAGCATATTGCCAACAGTTTAATCAGCTGCTGGCTGTCTACATTATCACTTTGAAATTATAAAATTATGAGATATTAATGAAAGCTTTATATATATCTTGAAACAAAATTATCAATCTAAATTAATGAAATGATCAGTATGATTAATGTTCTACCTGAAATATTCAAGTCATTTTGTAAATTACAGTACAAGCTGGTAAAGAAATACAGCCTTATAGTATTATTCATATTATTATTATTCTTAATTTATAGTCCTATTATTCATATTATTATTATTATTATCCTTATTATTTATTCAGCCTTATTATTGGCAAAAAAATTCAGCCTTATTTTTCATGTATGATACGTTGGTTGCATCAACGGTTACTTTGTTTTTGAAATACAGTATTCTCAACAATGAAATATGGAAATAAGAAAAAGAAAATACTCCACAATTTTAAGAGTTGTTTCTATTAAGACAATAAATTTAATAGTTTCATGTCTCACGCACTTTAACCCATTGGTGGCCAGCGCTCTTTAAGAAAGTAAGGTACGTGCATTAGGGTGTAATACTGTAATGCAACATTGCAACTCAAGGTGGCTCCCTATAACTTCCCTCAGTTACAGCAATTTATATGAATCAGAGTTCATCCTCGTGACTCGCGCGTGGAATCTTCGTGACCCGGTAAAATTTTTGAAACAAGCCACTGGGAAGTTGTTTTTGAGTTTTATCTGCAAAGAAAACGCCACGCCTGTTTTATATTATAATCCTAAACTTTTCAAAATTCGAACAGTACGTATGTTGTTAACCTATCTTTAGTGTCATGTTTCGCTCGCTACTCTGGTTTAAATAAATGATTACAAAGCCCAGTCGAATTGCAATCAAGACCCAACGTTTCGACACTCCAGTCTAGTGTCTTCATCAGGGGTGATCTAAAGATGCAATCGTGGCTTCTTAAATACCCAAGGGATGACGTCACCTGCCAATGAGATGCATATATTCCTCTGGCAAATAGGCACCATCATCCCTATTCAAAGCATGATTACTCATATTTATATGCCACGCTTCTAGGCAAAGTCTTTGACCATAGCGATTGTTTGTGGTAATTACTTTAGAGTTTTCCCACGCAATCTCGTGTTTGGTGTAACATACATGTTCGGCTAAAGCTGATTTTCCCTTGTCTAAAGTTGAAACAGCCTTTTGGTGTTCTTTTAGCCGTGTACCAAACTGCCGTTTAGACTGACCCAAATACTCTTTCTCGCAGTCACCGCATGGTATAGAATATACAGAATGAGTTTTCTGATTTGTTTTAACAGGATCTTTTGGCTTTCATTCAGTATTTTATAATACTCACAATTTTCAACAACAGTGTCAGTGTCGCGGACTGAAATTATATTTTATGCTTAACTTACTACGTAAGCCATTCAACTCAATTCACATGCACAGTAGTGTTTTATCTCCTGAATCTAATAAAACTATAGTGCAGACGTTACGAGTACAGACTCCCAATCTAATCTCCTCTCAACCGTGAAAGCGTGCGAGGAATGGACATGTGATAATAACATGAAGTTGAACGCTTCAAAGACGAAAGAGATGCGGGTGAACTTCTCGTCTAGTTCACCCCAGTGAACTGTAAATAACCTGGAACGATAACTCCGCCGCCATCTTTGAAGCCACTCATGAGTGATGAGTTTGCAGGTTGCCCCAGTCCTTTTTTACAAAATGGCGTCAAAAAATTTTTTTGAAAATCGATAAATTTTGCCCTTTTCTTTTTGTTAAGCACTTGCCAACTCCTCCTTATATTAAACTAAGACAAAAGAACTTTAAATAAATGTGCTTAAAATAAAAAATGGTTACCAAACAACAGAAATATCACACGTACAAGACGAACAACACGAGAAAACCGCGCGAAAATTTTTAGTTTTTCTGTGTTAGTAGACTTTCCAGAAAGAGTTCGGAGACATTTTGGCGTCAGTTATTTGAGAAAAGTTTAGATACTGTTAGAAATTCATTTCCGAGCATCCAGAAACTTATTGTTTTAAAGTTAAAATCAGATTAAACATGTAAAAAATCTTCGGGGGAAAATGAGTGTTTTTCATATCGCCCCAGTCCATATCTGGCTGGCAGAGCGCAAGTAATTTGTTATTTTTTAACATTTTTGTAATTAACAAAGTTGGAAAAAAGTTTAAACTGCAAAATTAGTTTGTTATTGACTGGCATAATAAATGCCAGTTACTTGTGTCGTTTATGAAAACAAAACTTGCGTCAGGAAAATGAAAGCAAAACATATACTGCATTCCACAGGTAAGAAATTACAAAACAATTGAAACTTTAAAATATTTATTAATATTCAATTTATTTACATTTCAATAGTAAACACTACTATGACAATGGGTACCGTACATATTCATAATGACAAAATGAAAAAGCCTATTTTCATTAATACAGGTTTTCCTTAAAAAGATGAAAGGCATCATGAGAAGTGCGAAGATGTAGTTTAAGAGAGCAATAAATGATGGGCAACAGTGGAGGGCAAAATGCCACAGCTACATTTGTAGTAATCATTTCGATGCATGTGACTACACTCAGAGGTCGATCCAGCAAGGTTTTTCTAGGGGGTGCTGGGTGAGCAGCCGAGTGTTCCTTTATAATTCTTTAGGGGGTGGTGGGAGAGCATTCAAATAAATTGGCTTCCTAATGACTTGAGCGCCGAAGGCGCAAGCTCCCTAGGGGGTCCAGGGGTCCGGAACATTCTGAAAATTAAAACCCTAGAAATGCCATTTCCTGCGATATGGGCATTGAATGATGAGCTTCAGTATGACTTTAAAAAAGGAAAAACCTTGGAAATTGTGCCATATTTCCAAATTTGATTTTTTTGCACCCCTGTTGACCAAGGCCAACAGGGGTCACACCCTTGTGCACCCCCCTATAAATCCACCCCTGACTACACCATCCTCAACAGGGTCGTGCAGGCTAAAAAAAAATGCTGTACCATCAGTATTCAAATTGGAATTCAAACTGCAAAGCATACCAAAAGAGGCTAGAAGCCAACTGAAAATGCCTGAAGGAAGCACCACCCATCAAGGCCATAAACATCCAATTATGTCACATGAACATCTATTGTCCAGGGTTGGTAGGTTTGCTGAATAATTAGGCCAAACACCGTCACACTAGGCCTTTGTGTTCTAATAGTGCACTAGTGATGATTTGGCCTAATTATTCATCTAACTTACCAACCCTGCTATTGTCAACAACAATATCATCACATAATACAGGAAGGTATTAATAGCAGAAGTGTTTTTCAGTGCGCATGAGCGATAAGCCTGACAACACAGCTGACACCAATATTATGCCATCATTCGCCATCCTGGCAAGTACAACTGGCACTTTGTACTTATCAAAACTTCCGGCTGTTTTAGCCAGGATGGCGTGGATTGGTGTGAGCAAGTTAAAATTTCAGTGGACAAAAACATCAAAGGCACCAACTCAAGATACACTTCTGCTATACCTTCCTATTGTGTGATATCATAATCACTGCTATGGAAAACGGCAAAAACTAATACAACAGACACCACTGCAGGCAATCAATAATTCACTTCAAGATGAAGAAATTTCTAAAAAACAATTAAAACATAAAATTAAAAACTTACAGCAGCAATTGCAAAGATGTAAGAAGAAGATAGGGAACATGGCACAATTTATTGAGACTGCAAGAAGAGTTCATCATAAAATCGGTGTGATATAAAATAGTCATAAATATGTGTGAAAGTTTTGTCATCTGGTCGAAAATTATGTCATTGAAATCGTGAGAAAATAATACTATATTAAGATGTACCACTTACTTAATAATTAGTTAGTTTTATTAAAAGCAGATATTTACTTTTTATAAACTAATTCTATCACGTTTTCTTCGTGAGTCACGAGTGATTCCTTTACTGTTTTACACTTTACAGTACGGGAAGCACTGCAGCGAGTCTGTCGTGCAGAATTGAGAATGGAATGCCCAGTACGTGACAGGCCTCGTTTAAACAAGTTGATCTTGTTGAAAAACCAATAGTTATCATGAAAAAAGTAAAAATAATACAATACTTATCTTGTAATCAATTATTCGTCGACTGGAGTCCACAAATATAATTGAAACTGAAGCAATTCGTCGCTGTTGGAACGTTCGACTTTTTTTATTGAAGTCACCAATATTTAAACGATGCCGCTCGATATCCTTGTAAAATAACTTTAATACACGATTGATTGTATCTTATTACCAAGGAATATATTTCGTATTATAATTGCTGTCAAAAGAATGCAAAAATCTTACATAATTGAAATAAAAAACCCCAAATTTGTCGGTCTTTCAATACAAAATCAAATCGCGCCATTACCATGCGTTCTCTGCTGACCGACACTTCGTGACATAGCCACGCAAAAAACACGCATATATTGGCCGCCATCTTGGCTTCAGGCAAGTATGGGCATGTTTACTTGAGTTATCGTTCCAGGTTATTTACAGTTCACTGGGTGATACACGATGGTACTATAGAGCTCGTGTCATCAATGTTTTGTATAATAATTATGAGAAAATTATAGAAATATTTGAAAATATTGTTGACAATGCAACAGGGTGGGATGATGAAACACTGAATAAGATGACTGGTTTACTTGGTTACCTTATTCCCATCCGGTCGAAAAGTAGCAATTTCGAGTGGCGTTGTTTCAAACGCTTATATCTCTCAAACTATACATCGCATGGGAACAGAAATTGCATCGTTCGAAAGAGGAGGACTTCTGCTTTCCAACGATACCAATTTCAATTTCATCCGGAGCTTGGTTAACGATTTACTCGTATAAATTTGCATACATTATGATATAAAAAAATGTTGCAATTATGCATAAATGTATTTAACGGTTCAAATTTCAAATATGTCAAAAAATTTTATGAATATGACTGAAAGACACGGTTATGATCTACAAGTACCCGAAGTTTCATGCATGTAGCATAAATAGAAATATTTTTATTGAATTTTTATATAAACTAGGTAGTAGAGTAAAATTTACATTTTGTGCCCACATGAAACAAATACCTTTATCAAAGGTCCTTTTTTATTGCTGCAACATGTTATCAATACAAATTTCCAATATTTCTTACTCTCCAAAGATAGTATGGCACCAAAATAAGTCTGTGATACCCACAAAAGAACACTCAAATCATGATTAGCAAAATGTTTTTATTTCTACAATTACTACATACATTCTTAGATAATCATTACACCATTGACTTTAGTTATTAGTGGCATAACCAGCCTCAAAATTTGGTCATGCTATTCAAATTTGAAATAATCACTACTCATTTGTTTAGAAATTGATTGTTTTCACAATCTAGAACATGAAAATATTTGCAAATAGCATGACCAAGTGTTGTTGGGCTGGCATCATCATAATTAGTAGTTATAAAAAAGTAATGTTTTCCAAGGCAGTAATGTTTGCTAAAGCAGTAATGTTTGCCAAAGCACATAATTGGATTATGTGGTGAAAATATTTCCTTTATATTGTATTACAAAAGACCTAAGACTGTAACCAAACTGATATCAGATCACCACGTCATACCCAAATCTGTTGAGATGAATATCTGGACTTCTTCCTGTATAAATTTCAAAGTCGCAATATAACCATTAGGATTGTCTGCAGCAACCCACAGATTTATTCCCCACATAGTAGGTCATCTAGCTTTGATGAACTGCCTAACCCCAACCTATTTCTTGATTTGACAGTGTGTTTGTCTGCAACAACAATATTCTGTGACGGCTGGTACAGTTGTTGATGCAGTTTATTGCTGTAGTCTTTAGTACTGGATCTACCATATTCACAAATGCCATAAGCGCTTTGTACCTAACCCGAGAAATTATTTCTATTGCCCACAGACCATGATATAAGGTTTTTACACTCCAATAATTTTCAATCTCACTGTCAACTTTTAGCAAACTTGCATATACTAAAAGGCAATCAACCTCTCAAGGTTGGTGGACTGCAAGACCCTTCTTTATTAGTATATGGGGATAACTTTTGAGTTATTTGTATGTGGGCATATGTATTGGTATATGGCCAGGAAACTACCTCCTGTCGAATGAACTCAAGCTCACAGTTCATTGAGCCGAATGAACTCAAGCTCACAGTTGATCGAAATGGATCCCGTACATGTCAGTAAGGAGCAAAATCTGGGAGAACATTCCTAGCGTCAGGATCATCATATCCGTCATGTACTATGGGGCCTAGTGGGGATGCTAGACAGGGAGCTTTCGAAACCTTAGGTCCTAATGGCTGGGCTTCCCTCTACCTCTACTCATCCCCCTACCTTCCCTCTGGGTTGGTGAGTGGGGTTCTCATGACTCATCAGAACTCTACTTCCCTGAGGCTATGAAACAGGAACAGCAGATAGGAACAGGATCAATATATTCATCAGTGCAAATAAAAACTTTTATAGACATGGTGCCACTTAAAATTATAATAAGAGCCAAACTAGTAAGATATAAGTATGAATACTTGGCCTCGTACTTGGCTATTATGTATGTAACAAACAACCAAACATGTGCTCAAGGCTCATTTTACTTCGCCTAGGAATCAGAGATTTTTATGCCTAAAACACCATAAATTTTCGTCAACAATATAAATAAATACTATTTATATTTGTCAATTTCAGTATGAAACGATTATTTCAACACAAAAAAGCGATATGAGGACATACTTGGTCGTACTAGTGAAGCTATACTAAATACAAATAAATTTACAACGCCATGGCAACAGCAAAACATTGAAATAGAAATTGTCTAGAAATCATACAAATACTTGCCTTGAAACTCCAGACACGACTCCCAATGCCAGGTTGAGATACTTGTCTTCATACGAAGACATTCCATCATTACTAGCACTATCAGTTTGCAAAATAAAGCCAAAAACGTCTTCGGAATGCGATTCAAACAAAACTACAACACAATACATTTCAACGCTCGTGCGTTCCCGTGCGCGATAATCGGGAAAATTGCTCTAAAAGATTTGTTTTTCTGCCTAAGCCAATCAAAATCCGTATCTAGGGTAAACAAACACTCCGGAAGTGATTCCTGCAGTCTTTTACCAGGAAACTGTAATGCTTTACCAAGAATTTGGCGTCCGAAGTTGGCCGAACACTTTCCGATCACGAGAATTGCCGTAATAGGCTTAGATTATTTTGCAATTTCCCGAGACTGCTCCGAGCTATAGAATGGAAGATGGCGATTCTTTTGGTATATTTGTTATTATTATACGTTGAAAAGAAGCAAAAAGACGAGCATTTGAATCAGGCGGAACATCCAAAATGCAACAGCAAAATTGATAATGTGTCATTTGCATAAATTTCACTGCATTGATCATTTCAAGGTAAGAAATTCGCTTGAAATTGAGCGAGAAACAATAAAATTATATGAATATTTCTGAATATATAGTATCGATCAAGCGGAATTTTTTGGTGGTATTTTCGTATGTCTACTGCAAATACTCGCGAAGTTCTTTAATATTTAATCTTCCCGTCATATACGTCGGAAATTAATATTGGCGGATTGAATTGAGTTAAAGAACACTAATGACTTTAAAACGCTTTGCGAAGCGTTTGTGGTTGAATTTTACCTTAAATCGAGGCTTATATTACGTATAATAACATACCTAACATATATATGTTGGAAAATTAATAATTTTGTGATTAAAAGTGATGTTTATAGGCGATTTTTCTTTTGTAAGAATATTCTTAAAAAATTATCGTGTTACCATGACAACTTAGATACTTCATGTTCGGAAAATACAATGGTTTTGTCAGCAAGGCGAGGGTTTCTGCATGCATGTATTTTCTAGTAGTTTTGTAAACAGAGTGTCAGCAGTGCCAGAGTAGAATATGGGCAATGCTCAAAATATTCTTGTGACTATACTTTTCAGATAACATGCCCCGGTATCCGAATTGTGTTGCAGGTTGCATCAAAAATTGCCTTGTGTAAAGTAGCTACATGCCACATGCCTGCCATGGGCTTATATGCCGTGCCAGACGGGACAAAAATACTTCCTGCGAAATATAAGACTTGTTTGTGAAAATCAATCTTGTAAATGTGCATATATAAAACTTTCTGAAAGAAATAAAACTTATCTTATGAAAACTAAACCTTTTTTCATTAAAAAGTACAATACTTTTACAAAAGTAAAACTTCTTTTAAACCAAAAGACTTTTATCTTCACACAAGACTTGTTTTAAAAAATAAAACTTGTTTTATGAAAAGTATACCTTTCTAAACACAACTACTTTTACAAAAATACAACTTCTTTTAAACTATAAGACTAATCTTCGCACAAGACTTGTTTTAAAAAATAACACTTGTTTTCATTTCAATCGATCACGGGCTCAGAAGTGAACTGCAATTGAACTAAGCGAAGTACTTCATTTTATATGCATACTATAACTCACAATCTCACATCTTTTTCAATATACTTCCACATATTTAATTAACGCTGTGGGTAACCTAAGGGAGGAAACTCAAAGGCATAATGAAAATGTTAGTGGTTTGCAATTGCAAGAGTCAAGAGTTAATAGACAGTCAACATATTCTGTTATCCTTTTGCCAAGTTCACAAAAATTTTGAGGAATCGCTTTTGTTATTGTATTTTTTTGTAAATTTTAGA